TTCATGTGAATATGGCTGAAAAAATTCATTTTTTCTGAAAAGGTGGTGTCTATTTACTTGTGACCACGCTGTGTATATGTTACGCTCAATCTCAGGATTCGGTTATTGACTTGAAGAATTTACTATTTCGCGATTTGAGCGTGTCAAAATCATCAAAATCCGAAATAAAATGCTATTTCGGTGTTTATGCAAAAAAATCAGACAAATGCTTAAGTCTTTGTGTAAAATTATTTAATCGAATTGAAGTTCATGAGCTGCAGAATCTCCAAACACAAGTCGCACAAACATCGAAATAACATTTTATTTCGGTCTTTGATCATTTTGGCACGCTCATATCGCGAAATGGTAACTTATCTCGATCAATGGAAATTTAAAAAAAAAGGTGATATGCTGATGGTTAATTAGATTATGTATTTATTTACACATTTTGAATAATTAGTAGTGATTTCTAAATAGTGTATGAGCTATTTTTCTGTGATTTTGAAGTTACTGTTAGCTATAATTGTGACGAAACTATTTATTTTTTTTCGCTAGATCGTTCACATTGTAAAAGCCGCTATATTAAACAATAATATCACAGAGTTTAACAATTCCTTTATAAAATAAACTGGGTTTATTGCCAAAACAATTACGGAACAAATTGAAAATAACGATTTAGAATATGATTAAGAAGAGCAAAACAAAACATCATTCTTCAGAAAACTTATTCGGGGATTTCGACAGTTGTTTTTTTGCTTATCTTTGGAAAGAACGCTGTTTTTTATGATGTCACTGTTTTGTTGTTAATATTATATGAAGTAGTTTGTTTAAAGTACCTTATCAAGTTAATGCATTCTTCTTGTTCATCCAGCACCCAATCTGAAAGGCAGACCTCGGAAAAAGAAAGCCAAAATAAACAGAAGCAACTCTCCAAGCAGCGAGTCCAACGCCTCAGAGGAAACTAAAGAAGGAGATGCTAAAGTTAGTAATCTCATTGTCACTAATTTTCTTCAACGTAACATAATTTTGACCCTATCTAGTATAGAAATGTATACAATTTAAATACACGACGGAGCACATTTATTGCGAGAAATACGCTCATGCAATAACATGTAATATTAATCCACGCATTGGACTTTATTTTTGAATATTATAGTCATGAAATCCCACCGTAGGTCACGTAACAATATAAATGTGCCTGTTATGCAATGTAATGAATGTAAGTATTGTAAAGTATAATTATGGTTTGACGTATTCAGTTTTAGTGTACGGTACATAAAACCGTTGTGGTTGAAGTTAGCTGTGGTTTCAAATACATCCTTATGTACTTTCCTTCACTATAATTGAATGGTTTAGAAACATTTGAGCACGTGATCAGTATCGTACTTGGCATACCAATAGCTACTCCTAGAAAAAATATAATTTCCCTTCAAAATTCTGCTGTTTTGTCTTATGATGATATTTTTTATAAGATAGAATGCCATTGTTTATTATATTTTACAGTTCCTACATGGAAAAGTGTTATTGTTAAGTTGTATTTTATACTTGTATAGTGTATAGAGGACTTTTTATAATATTATATTAAGCGCTTTTTTTTTACAATATAAAATTAAATTTGATGGCAAGTATATTACGACATTTATGTTAAAAGATTTAACTGAAAGGTAATGTTAAGTCATTTTATGCTGAATAGTGTTGCATTGAAGATAAGAAATAACTATATCATTATATATGTGTTCAATTACCTGTGCTTTAGTCACGTAAGGCAGTAACTAAGTTGTATGGGAATAATGAACTCCAGTGAATTAAAATGAATGATGCAAACATTAATGATTTGGAAGTCTGATATATATTCACTATAATTAACTTAAGCTATGAATATAGGTCACATGAAGTTACAGCTTCAGGTAAAGCTCGTTTAACGTGTGAATTCAAGAGATTAACATGAATCCAAGTATAATTTGCTCAAACTGCGGTGCATAAATTTTTGTCTTTGGTTACATGAAATATCTTATGTTAGAGGGTGTATATAATTATCATTGCTAAGTTAAAGCAATCTTAAAATATGTTTAAAAAGAGAATTGATTAACACAAAGAAATGTTTTATAGCTACCATTTACTTTTTTAGAGGTTTTAAATACTCTGTATTCGTATAGATGTATTGTCAGAGTGATTGCTTAGCCAATGAGCTAACCTATCTTGTGAATTCGAAACATTTGTTAGATGTTATTTAACATGTGTATGTCAGGCATCATCACTATCTTAGGTATTTTTCTCTTACTGCAGATGAAGATTGAATGTACGAGTAATGGAACAGAAAGGAAAGCCAGTAAAAAAGAACAGGAGTTTTTACAGAAACTTTTTAAGTTTATGCAAGAAAGAAACACACCCATAAATCGTGTCCCTCATCTCGGTTTTAAGCAAAGTAAGTTCTGAATTAATTTTTGTTTCTCAACCATAATGATCATATTATTATTATTATTAGTGACTAATTTCAGTTCATAAATGGTAGTTTAATAGGGTTAGAAAAAAAAAGTGCAAATATATAAATTTATATTTTCAGTTTTAGATTTCCAACCACCATAATGAATACCCTCAATTAATTAACGAAAATCTAAACTTAGTGTTCTCGAACTTTTATTATTTGTATATGAGAGGGCGAAAACGAAAAATTATGTAACTCGAAATATAGATAATAAATGGATTCTTGTTTATGTTCTCCTAGTGACTGTATTAGTGACGAGCCCATATTTCGAACAGATAAAAATATAAAAAATTAAATTTGTAGTCGGCAGGTTACAGATGATATGGGTTGACAAAATATTTTTAATTATAGAATTTGTAATATTTAGTTTATACATAGTAATATTTCACCAATTATAGAATTTGTAATATTTAGTTTATACATAGTAATATTTCACCAATTATAGAATTTGTAATATTTAGTTTATACATAGTAATATTTCACC